ACGCAGCGCACATTCGTTCTAAAAAGTTGCAAGAGCTTCACGGATTGAGGGCGGGCCGTTTTCAAAATGCGGCTCTCGCCTTAGCGCCGCGCACATTCGTTTAAAAAATGCAAGAGCTTCACGGATTGAGGGCGGGTCGTTTTCAACATGTGGCTCTCGCCTTAGCGCCGCACGCATTCGTTTATTGAAATTTGGAAGAGGTTGACGGATTGAGGGCGGTTCGTTTTCAAAATGTGGTGTGCGCCTTAGCGCCGCGCGCACTCGTTTGAAACAATTGTAAATGAAATGGTGTGTTGGGTGGATTCCGGACTACGCGTGCGCAACAGTCATGTTGATTCGCTATGCTGAAGTCCCAAAAATGGCGTTATGGCACGATTCTGGATCGTCAAGATGCAGTAGTCAGGAGGGCTAGTGCAGAAGGAGCTTGCAGGAAGGGTTCACTCTAGCATAACTGATGGCCCTTGGGTTTCCACTGGTCCTCCTCCTCCTCCTCCTCCCTCCCCTCCTCCTCCTCCTCCTCCTCCCCCTCTTCCTCCGCCTCGTCCTCGTCCTCATCCTCATCCGCCTCCTCATCCTCATTCTCGCTTTGGTCAGACCTTTATGTGTGAACATGTGGCGTTCTACGTCCTCCCCCTCCTCCTCCTCCTCCTCTCTCCTCCTCCTCCTCCTCCTCCTCCCTCCTCCTCCTCCTCCTCCTCCTCCTCCTCCTCCTCTCTTCCTCCTCCTCCTCCCTTCCTCCTCCTCCTCCTTTTCCTCCTCCTCCTCCTCTTCCTCCTCCTCCTCCTGGGAACAGCTTGCGCTCGGCCAGAGTCTGGTTCATTGTGACCAGGGGCCTTGGGAGAGAAAAAACTCGTCTGCTCCCGAAGCTCCTTCAGATGGCTCACCTGGCCAGCGCTTCCTGCTGGGAGGAAGGAGCCCCTTAGATAACTTGGCAATCAGCATCTTGCCAGCACCCGTCGGACGCTGGTAAACCTTCCCCAGACTATTGAAGCGCAGGTGCCCAGAACAGCCACGCACCTCGCACCACCAGAGTCCGCGCAGGCACCGAATCTTGTGGGACCCGTGGATCTGGTGGGGAAGCCCGCACATGGGGAGTTCAGTCAAGACTTCAAGGGGCGAAGTCTGGTGGGTGCCGCGAGGCACTGCTGGCAGACAGAGACTCCATTCACACGGACTGAAACCTGGTGGGCTGTGGCTTCGCGGGAGTTCACACGAGCGGCAAGTATCTCATCTTGTCGGGCCCGCACAGCAGCTACTACATCTCCAGGTGTTAAGGCCCCTGGCGCCTGAACATCCTTATCTCGAGCATTGGCCTCCCCGAGGGCAACAACAAGCAGGTGGTCCAGGACGCGGGAGGCCACATCGTCAACCCGAGCAACCTCGGCCAAAACGTTCCAGGGAAGACTGCCCAAGGCTGCTCCGCGCTTGGCCGCAAGGTCGGCCTCTCCAGGCCTCTGGTAAAACTCGTGCCAGAAACGGGCCCAGGCTGCAGCATGCAGGGGAAGAACATTACCTGGGCCATTCGGGATCGCTTTCAAAACGTAGACACAGCCAACCACGACAACTCCAGGCCCCGAAGTTTGACGCAGGGCCTGGGGTAGGCCTTCCAGCTCGGCGAGGGGCACCGTCTGGCTCCTTCCAAGGGTCGGTCCCCAGGCAGTCCCTGTACACCCCCGTTAAACCAGATTGCGAACCCCCAACCACATCTACGAAACCTCACATCACTCGAATGATCTCCTCCACTCCCATCAGCTCCTACAAACGCCCCTGGGGGCAGCTCGAGACGAACTCCTTCTTCGATATCTCCTTCCACCTGGAAATCCCACTCCGGCCATGTGTCCACGTGCGGGTAAATCCACATCACTGGGACGAGCCCTCGATGCCAGAAACATGTCCAGTCCTCGTGCTCCCCGTGGTATGCTGGAGCATGTCGAAAGCCGTCCCTTCGGACGGCTGGAGGCAAGTACATGTCCATTGCTGGTGTAGCAGGTCTTTTGTTGGCAGCGGGTGGACCCGGGCAGCGAGGCATCTTGGGCATCCTTGCTTGTCTGAATCCTGCTCATATCACTGGCCACAACGCTCCCGTTGAAATCCGTTCTTACATGGCCGCGTGGGCGTACACCTTTTTCCTACGGAGTTTCCTGAGCTTCCGCTGGAATACAGTTAGGTCAGCACCGTATTCTAAGCCTTTACCACGAAAGTGTTTGGCAGCTTGGTCGGTCCAGATCTGCTGCTCCAGGAACACGTTGAACTCCTCCAAGACGCATGTTTGCCACCCTGGGTCCGAGACCGAGACAGCTTCCAGATAGAAGGGGGCTCGTTCTGGTGGAGCCTCCGAGGGCAGCAGGTAGAACTCCTCTCCGTGGGGCGTTTCCAAGTGCCTGGGTAACTGAGGGCCCCACTGAGTCTGGATGAGGGTGATGATGAGTGAGCTGATGGGCCCTTTGGCCCGTCCCCAGGGATTGGAGGCCCCACGCATACCGCTGACGCGCTTCCTCCATGCGGCTGCTTTGGCGACTCTCTCATTCATCAGTCTGGGCAGGATGTTCAGCCAGGCTCTGAGCATGTCCAAGCGGGCGAAATAGAGCAGGTCACTTTTACAGCCAGGGCCGAGACGTAGGGCAATTGTTGCACATCCTCCAGCTCTCTGGTTCCCCGAAATGGCGACCATCTTAGCTCTCAAATGCTTGAGTGCGGTCGGCGGGGCCCTTTGGGCCATCATCCCCCGGCTGTGAGGCTGAGCTTGCTGGCTTGCTTGTTGGCCCGAACCAGACGTCGTACCCTCTCGGCCCTGGCAACAGCTTTCTTGAGACGTGGTTGGGCCACCACTGTGGACCATCTCCGCGATGAAAAATCCAGTCTTCGATCACACACATGGATTCCAGCCTGTGCGAGCGCGCGGTGGATGTACTTCACGATTTGCCCTTGGCTCCCGAGAAGTCGAGATGTCTTCGATAACTTGATGCCCCTGGCTGTCATCGATGTCCTGGGCTCCTTGAGTGGCGACGCGTTTCACGATCTCCTGAGGGGTCCTGGTCGAGAAGGAGAGGTCGTCCACCCACGCGCTGAGCTCCATAGGCCGAGAGCGTGCATGTGCATTGGCGAGCATGTCGTGCAGGTCTGTGCGTGTCCATGCGACGCTCTGCATGCACCCATGGAAGATAGATCTCTCAACGCTGATGTAGTCGGAGCCTCGGCGCCCACAGTGAGGACCCTGTCAGCGGTGTGCACCCGCATGCCCATGAACATAATATGCATTGGGTACTCAAGTCCTTTCCCTAGCGCGTAAATCCAAAAAGGGCTGAGCGTGTCGAAAAGCTTCTCAGCATCTAGCAGCAAGACGGCCCAGTCTATGGACAGCCAGGATGCGGCCTCGGCCTTGGCGATCCGTAGGAGGGCGGCTTTCAGCGGGTGGGACCCTCGGACGGCTGCATCCCAGAACCCCGCCTTGGCTTTCTCCTCCTCCTCCTCCTCCTCCTCCTCCTCCTCCTCCTCCTCCTCCTCCTGCTTCTCTTCTTTTTCCTCCTCCTCCTCCTCCTCCTCCTCCTCCTCCTCCTCCTCGTCCTCCTCCTCCTCCTCCTCCTCCTCCTCCTGCTCCCCCGCCCTCTCTCCCTCCGTCCCCCCCTCTCTCCCTCTCGAAATCCCCTCGTCGTCCTCCTCCCTCCCTCCTCCCCTTCCTCCCTCACCTTCCGATTCCACTTCCCCGATGTCTTGAATTTTCCAGTACGGGACCCCGGAAGTCTGGATCCTCTCCCCGGAGCCGGCGTTTCATCCTGGGTCGTCTTTTGACGGTCGCGGAGGCCCGACGAGGGCCCCAAGTGGCCAAAAACGGCTCAAAACCTTCTGTCGTGCTTTTCTCGCGAAGCGAGCCTGTCGGGGACGCCCGTTTTGTTTGGACTGGACTCGCCTGTCCTGGAGGGCGGGAGGAGCGAGGCCAAGTTTCAGGCCAACTGTAGAGTAGGAGGGGCGCGCAGGGAGGAGGAGGAGGATGAGGACGAGGAGAAGGAAGAGGAATAGGAGGGAGGAGAAGGAGGAGGAGGAGGAGAAAGAGGAGGAGGAGGAGGAGGAGGAGGAGGAGAGAGAGGAGGGGGGGGGCTCAGACCATGGTCCCAGGCGAGCGGAGGGCCCGGGGATGACCGCCCGGAGGCGCCACGAGATCGGGTGAGACATCACGCCCCATGCATCTCCTTCCTCCTCCTCCTCCTCCTCTCTCCTCCTCCTCTCCTCCTCCTCCCTCCTCCTCCTCCTCCTCCTCCTCCTCCTCCTCCTCCCCTCCTCCTCCTCCTCCCTCCTTCCTCCTCCTCCTCCCTCCTCTCCCTCCCTCCCTCCCTTCCTCCCTCCCTCCTCCCCTCCCCCCCTCCTCCTCCCCCCCCCCCCCCCCTTGGCCGCCCCCGACCCCTCCCAGGCGACCTCGGACGCGGCCTCACCGACCCCTGGCAAGCCATCTCCTTTCTGTGACGTCGTCCTCGCCTTTCGAGCTTCCTTCTGGTCGCATGCATACGTCTTGGGGCAAGGCGAGGGGGCCGTCACGGAAGGGGATGGTTTGCTGGGGGTCGGTTACCCAGACGTACGGACGCTCCAATGTTTTTTGGTGCGCGGGTCCCGAGGTCTGGGCCGCTTCCCTATAGGGCCGGCTTCTCGCCCTGAGTCGTTTTTGGACGCTCTCGCGAGGCCCGGCGAGGGCCCCCAGAGGCCGAAAAGAACCCGACCCCCGCCGCCCCCATTTTTGGGGGGGAGGGGGGGAGCGTCGGCTCTCTGGGCACACAGTCGGGGCGTTGACCTCAGGAACCCTAAATAAGGAACGAGGCCCCTTTTTTCCAGAAGTTCAACTTCGACTTCCGATCGAAAACCTAAGGAAAGCCTGAGGCAAGCTGTGAAACACTCAAGGAACGCGGAGCCCCTCCCCATTCAGGGTCCCGGCTGTAGGCCGCTCCTGAGGACCCGGAGGCCCCCGGCCAGGACCGGTGCGGGTGTGTGCGGCCGGCGCCCTGCCGGGGCGCCTGCTCGCCCGCCGCCGCGGGCGCGGGCGCGGCCAGGGCGGCCAGCGGCACGCGGGCCGCGAGGACGGTGCGGTGCGCGCCGGGGTCCCGCTGGACGACGGTCCGAGGAGCAAGGCGCGGCACGGCCCAGAGATCCGACGCTCCTATGAAAAAAGAATTGGGAGCCAATGTTCGGCCTCGGGGGGCCCTCCTGCCTGGCCTAAAGAAAAAGGGAGCCGATGTTCGGCCTCGGGGGGCCCTCCTTGCCCGGCCTCGGGAGCGTCAAGCAGTGGTTCAGGACCACCAAAAAAAAAAACAGCCTGGGGAGGTGGTCCCGACCTCCGGGGCCCACGCATCCAAACACTTGGAGCAGCCAGAGGTCTGGGGAACACAAACCTTCGTGGGCGGCGACGTCCGAACCCTGCTCCGAGTGTCTCAGTGAGCGTCGGGGGGGCGTCACACCCGCCGACGGCCCCAGAACGACCCCCGTCGCGGGCAGCCACCGCGCGCCAAAGGCGCTCCGTCTCCCGTCGCGGCGCGACGACGTGGCGAGGCTGACCTCCGTCGGAGGGGTACCCCGCCACCCTTATCAAGAAACCCAAACTCCCCACCAACCACCGATCCTCCTGAATCGATGGGAGGCGGGATCAGCATTCGGAGTTCGACACGTCTCCGTCAAAGTCCGAACCACAGGCCCGCCGCCCATCGGGTTGCCAGAATCGCTGATCGGCGAGGGCAGGGTTCGGATTTCGCTGCCCATTTCGGAGCCCGGCGCGGATTTATTGGGTCGGCGCTGAGCCCCCTGGCGGCGCCTCTGGCGCCGCCCCTGGCGCACTGCGCGCGCGCCAGGGAGGGGGGCCCAGCGCCGATCCAAGAGATCCGCGCGGAGCTCCGAGAGCTCATGCTTCTGCCGATGTTTGCTCTTCGCGATGTCCACCGCCACCGGGCAGTCGTCGAAGCAGCCAAGCGCTTCCAGGCCCACGAAGGGCACCTCGGCCTGGTTCAGGGATCCAGGCACTCGGCCTTCCTCAGGGCCTCTGAGGGCCTCTGGAGCGCTCTCTTGGCCACGGCTCAACAGATCTGACCACCAAGCACCCCAAGATCTCCTCCTCCTCCTCCTCCTCATCCTCCTCCTCCTCCCCCTCCTACCCCTCCTACTCCTCCTCCACAATTACTCAATATGAATATACTCTCCCTCTTCCCCTGATGGCGTCCGGGTGATGGCTGCGCACCCTCCGCGTATTGTTTTTTTACACCCAGGATGCCCGGGAAATCCCGGAAAACGACTCTCGCTGAGGCGCCGGCGTCATTTTTTCCCAAAATGCTGCTCTCGCGCCGGCGTCATTTTTTCCCAAAATGCTGCTCTCGTTGAGGCGCCGGCCTCATTTCTGCTCCCGAATCCTTTCCCTGATGGCGTCCGGGTGATAGCCGCGCACCCTCCGCGTACTGTTTTTTAACACACAGGATGCCCGGAAAATCCCGGGAAACGACTCTCGCTGAGGCGCCGGCGTCATTTTTTCCCAAAATGCTGCTCTCGTTGAGGCGCCGGCCTCATTTCTGCTCCCGAATCGTTCCGGATCGTGCTCCCGCTGCAGCGTGGGCCTCATTTTCGGATCGGTGCTTGGCCTCCGTCGTTCAGGATGGCGTTCTCGCCCCATCGCGGGCCTCTTTCTCGCGCGCCCATCCGCCCGCCACCACCGCGCCGCACCGCCACCACCACCATCACCACCACCACCACCACCACCACCACCACCACCACCACCACCACCAACAACCAACATAACCACCACCACAGCAACAAACCACCGCCATCACCACCACCACAACCCACCACAACCACCACAAGCCACCACAACACCACCACCACCACCAACCACCACCACCACAACCACCACCACCACCGCCACCACCACCACCACAACCC